GCTGGATAGTTTTCCTCAACTGACATTCCAGGATCTCATTCTGTTTAGTCTAGGAATTTATCAAATTAAACAAGCTCGTAGTTATTACGGGGAGCATGTCAGGGCTTCTGGAGAATATAAAATCGAGGTATACCTGCAATCTGTCCATGATTTTGGTCCAAATAGTTATCTATTGCGAGGTAGGATACAATCAAGGCACACTAGTAAAAAAACTTATTACACTTATATACTAGTTGACACCAACCCATCAATTGCTAACACTAGGGCTGCTCTTACTGGGTACTGTTGCAACTGTTTGGTAGGCAGACGCACTGTTGGCTGCTGTGCACATGTCATGTCTGTTGTCTGGTTTCTATCTTGGGCACGGCATCGAGATGAGGTTGAACCACCTGCATCTTTTTTAGATGATATATTACTTTCAAGTAATGATATTGAAAATGATGAATGATGATTATTAATCTTAATGCGTATTAATATTGTAATATAAATGATCATTTTTGCTATAGTTGCTTCACTTGTGGCAACCAAAGTTTTTTGTGGTATTCTATAGGAAGATGCTGCTCCCCATCTCCTAGTATTTTTATTTTATTCTGTCGACTTTAACGACACCATACGGGACGGAACGTGATGGCAATTCACGGAAGGCCTCTGTAATATTTTACATTATATCTTTAATTTAGGAGCCATATGTTCGGCAGTGGACTGTTGTAATGATGATGAATAATGATGACTAAAAATTGTAATTTTTGTTGCTTATTTGAACTATTTCTATTTTACTGTGTGCTTTATTATCTGTTATATATTATGTTATATGTGTAATTTATAAATAAACGCCGAGCAAAGTTGAATTTATTGCTTTGGCACCCTTTTTTATCTCTTTTAATTGACAATATCCTTCTGATTTCTAATAATATCGTAAACGGGCGAGACATTATATTTTAATGATGTATGGGATTTATACTTGCTAATAGATGAATACTTTAATGAACAAAGGGCCGGCACTGCACCTGTCTGCTGTGTTATTTTTAAAAGAGGACTCATAAAACACTGACGATTTTAACCATAATTAATGCAGTGATTATACATGATCTTTGGGACTTATTACATATCAATATCGTATCATAAATAGAAATGTTACCATCAAGTTATTTTGAAAAAATCTTTTAATATGATCTTTTGATATGAAAACACGAAAAATGTTTCTACCTATGTCCGTTAGAAACCATCCAAGCGATTTTGATGATATGTTTATGTGTGTTTGAACGGGTCTCTATATGATTCATATTCACATATGGACTCGGTAGGTGGCGCTGTTGTCGAAATCCAGAAATCACCTGTGCGAAGTCGGGGCGGATCGCTAATAATAAATACAATTAAACTATACCTGTGTGTTTGTTATCCTGGCACAAACAGTTCAAAACATCTTACTTCCTCACAATTTATCAGTGTGTAATAACAGATAAGCATGATATTACCTAGTCATTTTGGTATTTTAGAACCCAGTCATTTTAAGATGTATAATTAGGTATTTAATAATCAACCAAAGCATATTAAAAAAAGTCTTGACACCGGGCCTGTCTGTCTGTCTGCATAAATAGATCTGAATTATATGTCTGAATTATATAGACTATGTTGGAAATGATGATTTACCATCTATAAATACGGTTGCATTATAACTTGTTTTTTACACAGTCAGTTTAAAACATCTTTCTTACTATATAACGTGTGTTGGTAATATTGTAAATATAAATGGATATATTATACCTTAGTCATCTTGAATTTATTCATATTATTTTAACGGTAATTGGGAAGTACACTCACAATCAATATATGTAAAAAATTGTATCCATACCACATTTGTACACAGACAGGCACTATATTTTGCCGTAACTACTAAAAATATTGAAGTACCTGAAAATGCTGAATGTACCTACAACTTGGTTTTATATGAACTATTATTCAACAGTGCACTATTTTAACTTAAAATACCGGTAAAAACCACTATAAATAGCTTTTAGTTTATTTATAGGTTATTTTAAAATTCATATTTTAATTGTCAATTTCTCGATTTTCCGTCTAGATGTGGTAAAACTAATATTACTTTTGTAAACTATAAATTATAAGGAATAAATCGACATCCATTTCATTGCGTGACGCGAAAATTTGTGGTGGGCCCATTCTCCATACAAAAATTGATTGTCTCCTTTTGAATTTTGAATTTAAAGCTTCCAACCCCAGCTTTTGTAACTTGGAGACCGTCTGTTGTACATTATGAGGTTGCACATTGTCGTGCAAGACCAGCAGGGACGAGCAATTTACCAAAGCTGGTTGGAGACGTGCGAGCTTCTCCATCATTGTGTTCAGTTCTTCACGGTACACATCTACAGTAAAGCGGGCTACATACGACTCGATATCGGTGGCGATCTAGGGTGGAAAGAAATCGGGGCTTTTATCGGGGTAGACCTTACACACGGGCCTGCCTAGCAGTACGCGTTCGGACTTGGAGCGGAATGCACATGCGGTAGAGTTCTTCAAAATACCTCCGACTCTCAACAATGCCAAACCAACACCACCGTGTTGGTTTGGCATTAGCCATCTCGGTTAATTTATTCGAAAATAGAAAAAGAGAAGTTGCTGGGTGAAAAAATGGCTCCAAAAGAGATAAAAATTAAGCCACATAAACGTACTAAATGGCCTGTAATCCAAGGACGTGATTAATTTTCTCCGGATGGATGAAGACAGTTTTTATAACCTAGAAATGATTTCGCCACTTATATAAAAACGTCAATTTCTCCTACCTATGCTATTTAGTTATTTCTTTTCTTTGTTCATTTCTGCTTTGGTCAAAATCTGGTTATGTATTACACACAACAAACAAGGAAATAAAATACTTTTGTATAATAATATGTATACTTTTTTTTTTATGTAATCTTTATTTATGGAGTAAAACTATCAGAAAATAAAATAGCTTATATCTTTTTTTTAAACATAAAGAAACCTTTAATTTCAGACATACTCCCTTTTATATAACTTGTTTGTTGATGTGGAGATGGTGAAGGAGTAGAAGTTAGTTGTTGATAAGAGGATGAAGGCACGTAAGAGATCGAAGTGTGGTCTTGTGGAGTTGTAAGAGATATGAGTGCGGTCTTGTGTTGATAGCGTTGGAATAGGAGTTAGTTGTTGAGGAAAGGCTTTATCTTCTCCTTACTTACATCATACACTCTACTTTACGAACGGCAATAAAAAAATTAGTTTAGTAGGCATTCTTGACCATGTCACTTCGCAGGGTCACAGGCTAGGGTGGATATGATTTGAATTTCGATAAAATTTCAATTAATTAATTTATTTTATTCACTTTTTTTTTGTTTTTTTTTTTTTTGTAAAATATCAGTGCCATAGGCTTCTACTCCGTTTATATGATTAAAATGTAAAAATTTTGTTATATAAAAAAGGTCATTCAGTATCACTGTTTTGTTAACTTCCTTCCGCGAGGGTTGCCGGCAGCGACTGCCAAAAGAAATCGGGCGGATGCGCCTACACACACGCAGTAAGGAGGGGGCGGTGCCCCGATCTAGGAAGCATCGGCTGATCTAGGAAGCATTTTTGCTCCTGCCAGCCGATTAAGGAGGCGATATCGGCCACGACTTAGGATGGCCCTACATACGACACGATTTAGAGGCAATCTAGGAGGCATCCCCACTACTCCACCCTAGATCGCCACCGATATCGTGTCGTATGTAGCCCGCTTAATGCTCATCTCGTTTGGTAATAAGCTGTGATGAATCACACTAGCGCTAGTCCACCAAACAGTGACCATCACTTTTCTAGGGGTGAAATTTCGTTTAGGGCATTGTTTAGGTGCTGAACCAGGATCCAACCAATTTGCTGAGCATTTGCGATTGTCAAACAGAATCCATTTTTCATTGCAGGTAACAATGCGGTTCAAGATTCCTTCGTTTGTGTGCCTGTTGAGCATTGCAAGTCACGTCTCGACGCGTACTTCCCGCTGGCGATCATTGAGTTCGTAGGGCACCCATTTGTCGAGATTTTTAATCTTTTTTTTTTACAAAATAAAGGTGACAAAAGAGCACACAGTCAAATTGGTAATAAGCAGATACTGAGGGCCATAGACATCTATATTTATCCTCAATTAAGAATCAAAATGCAGATGCGTTTTGACCACTGAAGACCGCGATGGAATGCCTCATTTCCAGTAAAAAAGGATCTCCAGTTCTCTACACTCACCATACGAAACACAGCAGCATTAAGCTGCTTTTTCACGTTGGTATTCTGTGAAAGTGTGGTCCTATCCCGGTCGAGGCGACCCGTTCGTGCTACAACCATAATATAGCTGCATCGTGACTCGTATCACTTAGCACCTCGCCTATTTGACGCAAATGGAGAAATTTTGTTTCGATGCTAACTTCGAAAGCTGCTCTTCTTATTCAGCCGTAGATTGAGTATCATCAGCTTTTTTTATAGTATAAGAGTCACAAGCTTTCACAATAGCCTTTAAATCGCAATTGTCGTCAAGTTTTCGGACGAGCTGGGGGTTCATTTTTCACATCGAAATTTCCAGAACAGAAGCGGGCAAAACAATAACAGATGGTGCGTTCGTTTGTTGTATTCGCTCCGTAAACGTCGTTAATGTTGCGTGCTGTTTGTGCCGCGTTGCTGCCACGACGGTACTCATATTCCATAATTACTCTAATTTTTTCTATGATGACGAGAAAGATTCAAATGTGATGTAAGCATAACACTAATCAATAAACAAATGATTTTCAAAAAATATTCCATATTTTTAAAATAAAATTTGAATTCTTAGCCAAACAAAAATTATTTTGATTTGAAATGGCCAGTACTGCAGAACGGCAATTTCATAAACAAAGACCTATTAAATTTGATGCTACTTTACCGAATTTCCAGTATTCATAAAACAAAACATTCGTTAGCTAAAAGCGGCAAATGCGATGATTTGTAAATTTGAACCCACTGCTTACCAAATTAGTCAGCGCTTCTCCAAGGGACAGTCGAGCGCCGGCAGCCGGATCCAGCAGACCCTTCACATTCTGCGTACCGATTGAAGTGGCCGAGCCGACCAAGTCGAAATGAGACAGAGCTATTATCGCACAGTCCGCTAGCGGCGTATGAAGTGGACCCACACATTGTTGCTGGGCCACCAGCCCTGTTACACATCGGTCCACCTAAACATAAAAAAATGATTTAAAACAATATGGTGACTTTCGGCTTTACTAATAAAAAACGTCGTCAATTTAAGAAACCCTTATAATTATACTCTCTCTTTCTCTCTCTCTCTCTCTCTTTTAACTAAATGGCAATACAAAGAGACGTGTTTAAAGACGGCTAACACTTAAGTGAGCGATAATCAACAATTATGAAAACAATACCAATTAATCTGTCAAGTCCTGCCGGTCGACATCAGTCTCCACCGTAAAAGATTTGTAGACCTCTACAAAGAAGAGTACCCTCAGAACCACAGAGTACATTAACATTTCTCAGAACCAAGGATAAGAGTGCTCAGAACAATTATTTTTTAATGTTTTATAAAAGAATTATACAACTAATATTCTAAAAGATATATTAGAATTAGTCTCGTTACTATATTATGCTTCTTTAAATTAAGAGAATTCATTTCAAATTACGAGTTTCCGCTTTTGCCTACGCATCGCGTTTACTTTATACTTCAGTCTATTTCCTTTGCCGCGTGAGTACAAGAAGCAACGTCGAATTTTAAAAAAAAGGTGGGTACAAAAGTTTGTTATTAGTTTTTTTTCTCTAAGAGCCTAAGTAATTGCACTGATTTTAAAAGTTATTTGCTTATATATATTGTCTCGTAACAATTTTGTACACTTAGTTTAGTAGAAGTAACTGAAAATAAAACATTAAATGTGAGTTCACTATATCGTTAAAAAAAAGGAGTAAGAAGGTGGAGTTAAATATGTAGGTAATAAAACGATAAATTGTAAGCATAATTAAATGATTTTTATTTCTGTTGCACCTTGGGAGGTCATTGTAGAGTCGCGTCGTTCGTTCGCTATTTGAATTGGACTTAAGCGCGTGCAAAACGGTGTCACCATCTAAGCAAAACATGAATGTTCATGAAAACGATTTTTTTATAGGATAAGGGTGACAAGCGAGCCCATTGTCCACCTGATGGTAAGTGGTTGCTGTGATCCATAGACATCTAAATTTAACCTCGTATGCGATTCAAAATGCAGATGCGTTGTCAGCTGTGTGGATTACGATGAAAAGCCTCTTTTCCAGTAAAAAGAGTCTCCGGTTCTCTACACTCACCGTACGAAACACAGCAGCATTATGCTGTGTTCCATATGACGACGTCTTATTCTTATGGACGACATATACGGTCAGTTCAACTGATCATTTCAACAGATCATTCCAACTGATCAGTTCGAACTAGGTCTGTTGGTTTTTTTTTAAAATATCGGATTTTCGATATATCGATAATTATAAATATATCAATATCGCAGTTTTATATAAAAGTTTATTTAAGTAAGTAAGGCCATATAAGCTGGAATAACATCAGTAGTCTCTACAGATCCGTAAATGAAGTGGCAGTGAGTTGCTCATGAAACCAAGCTCAGAGCTCATAGAACCAACAGATAAAACTAATCTTCAAATTGATCGTCATTCGCAACTGGTTCGTTCATTCCTTGGATGTTTGACAGTTATAAGTTCCAGAACATCATAATAATGACAAAGCTGGAAGTTTTCAGACCCCTGACAGGGAGAGAACTCAAAAGGAGAAACTTTCCTTAAAATATATAGCAAATAAGCACTTTAATTCCATAGCTTTTAGGGCACTTAGCTATACTACAACAACACTTACCTTATTGGTTAAATACCTCTTGCTGGCAACATTGACAAGCCTCAATACTCTATCCAAAGCTTTTTCTACTGTAATATCATTAGGTAATGACAATGGTAACTTTGTTCTTTTTTCTTGTTTCAAATCAAACGTCTTTCGCGGCATGTTACCTAAGACGAATAAATAATTCGATAACATCATCAATGCAGCCACTAACACCAAACAAGCACAACTTTGTTGACACTTTGTTTTTTTGTTTAAATACACATTGAATTAAAGAGAAAGTTGATCTAACTGTGGCCCAAAATTATTTTTCTATCTTTTACAAAATAATTTTTAAAAAATTAGCTTTACATAATAAATAATTAATGAAAAATATTGAATCCAGTAGTGGTAGCTTGTTGTTTATAACAAAAATCTAACTAGTGATCTATGCAAATGACAGTTTTGACAAAAGGAAAATTTCATATGTAAAGAAAAGAAAAGAAGTGATATTATCATTACTCAATGAAATGACACTAGTCACAATGTGATTCAATAAAAAAAATGCAAATATTAAGATTTGCAAGTGTTATATAAAATTATTAGGAAATATGGCTTTCTCTTTCTCTCTCTCCCTCTCTCTCTTGTAAAGGTAAATATATATACAGGTAGAATTTTAAACGGTTAGACTTTGGTAGATTTAACAACAAACAAACACACCTACAATAGTTAAAAACAGATTCATTTTCTTACAAAAAATAGTTGTTTACAATTAAAAGAAAACTAGTAGAAAATTCCCTTTATGCAGGTGAATGTTAAGGTATAAATTGACATACCCAATACAGCTTCCAAATGCAAATCGTAAGGCAGTTTTGATTTCACTTCAGGTTTGAGTCTATTTTCTCGAGGGATATGGACTTCATTAAAAGAATCTTCCACTAGACTCATGTACCCATCGCCAGTAACTTCACCCACAAATGAAACCGGACATCTTTCACGGAGGCATATTTCTGCAAAATAATTTATAATAAGAACAATGCAAAAAATTCTAAATTTGTGGTGTAGTAAAGACCCATTCCTAATTTTTGTGATATCAAATATGATTTGACATTTAAAATAATACTTAAGCTATTTCCAATTAACAGAAACAGGTGTTGTACGCATTCTACCAAAGTAAGAAGAGTGTAAGACGTTCTAGAAAGCTACAGATGCGTTATTAATGGATTAATAAAATGTAACGCCTCAAAACCAGTAATTATACTGGCTCTTTATAGCTCTGTACCTTTAGACAACTGGAGGAAAAAGGCAAAAAGAGTAACGCGGTTGATTGTTCATATATTCCCAGTGTTTTTTCAGTTATTCCCAGTCCTACAACTTATTATACTTCGTAAAAAACAAGTATGTGTTTATGTGAATATGCGCCACCTATTGGTGAACTTAGTTAACAATAAAAATTTCACGATATTGTAGAATTGCAAGCAACACATCCTTCCAACATGTTATAATTCAAAAGCATACAACATGTGCATTAAAAGCATTTTTCACTGTTAAAGTTCAATAAAATATAAGTGAAAAGCCTTTTTTAAGTGTGCTAATAAGTAAAACATAAAACATAAACACTCATGCCTCAAAGACTTCCATTTAGCACGATCCTGACATACCTCTCTCGCCTCTTCCACATCCATATACCTACGCATACATGCTCTTCGGCCAAGGGTACTCTTAATTTGGCCCATTTTTAGTATATCGCCAATTTGGTCGAAAAATTTTCGCCTAGGACGTCCCTTTCCGACTCTTCCATTCACTTCTGCAACATATAGTTGCTTTGTCAGTCTTTCCTCATTCATTCTTTCTACATGACCGAACCACCGAAGCATTCCTTTCTTAATCCTGGTAACCGCATCATCTTGCAAACCACACTCTTCTTTTATCACACAATGTAACGCTATGTACTAATAAGTGTAAATCTTAAACGTCATGTAATATTTACAGTTATACCCATTACTATTTACCTTCAAGTATAGGCCTGTTCTTCTTACTGCAAAGCAGTGCATTATTTTCTTGGTACTCAGCTCCCCAAAGCTCTAGTGTTGTAATGGTTGGATCACCCAGCTGAAATTCCTTAGTGAACACCACTGCTCCTTCAGGTTCCACCAGTTCTTTTAGAACATTTCCGTTACCACCAGCACCTTGGTCATGAATTGCTGTGAAAATCATAATTTTTAAATGACATGTACTATGTTTAGATTACATATTAAATAGCAATTCTGCCGTCGATGAAAATAGATATTACATTACTTTATATATATTAGTAAGAAGTTAACCTCTCAAACGGCAAGCGTCCGACTGACCGTTTCTATATTCTGTCAAAATTCAAGACATAAATGTGACCGCAGCCACTCACAGCATTTTAACCCAACAATACTTATGTTTAGAGACTACTTTTCTATGAAGAATTTTGGCATTATAGAATCAATATGAAATTTTCTATCCTCTAGTGGAATAAAAAGTCAGTTAGTTTATGGATATTTATTAATAATCTACGTTCATTTCGTACGCCATTTTCGTGTGAATGTTCTTGTGTTGATTTTTTGATTTTTCTAGTGTTTTATTATAAAATTGTAATAAAAGTTTTTGTGTGAATGTATTTTATCTTTATCCATAAATAAATTCGAATAATATATATAGAAATAATTGTGATTTACACGCTGCCAACATCCGCTTGGTATGTATTTTTTTTTGTTTTCAAAATACAATAAAATCTTTTTGTAATGAAGTAAAACCTGACTTTTGTTAAAATCACAGGATAGAGAATTTTGTACAGATTTTATAATGCCAAACTTCTTCATAGAAAAGTAGTCTCTAAATATAAGTTTTAATGGTTTAAAGTTCTGTGGGAGGGTGCGGTCGCATGCTCCGGTAATGCCGGCATTTTTATGGGGATTGAAGGGTTAATGCCAATGTTCCAAATAAAAATACTGTCAGAAGCTAACACTTTAGATAACACTAAACTTGTGCTAATTTATCCATATTATACAATTTAAAGGTTAGTTCTACAAAGTAAGCGCCGCGTCGCGTCTCTGTGTGAACTGTCCCTTAGGTGTTTAATTGATTATGATAAAATTCATATAAGAAATATTTATTCAAATACTCGATGAATAAATAAAACTAATTTTATAGATTTTATTTCATTATTGGGAAGTTTGTGACCAAATTCAGGGGAAAGACTAATTTAAATAGACGAAATTTTTAATTGCTGAGACAGCACTTGCCAGCCATTGACAAAACATTGAGCACACTAGCATTTCTGGAAGTATTTCGGTGACATTAAATTCTGCTGTTTAAAGAGGACATACTCGTATATCAGCCATTTTCTATTTCTATAAGATTCTCTATAAGAATCTTCATTAATCCAAACACCAATCCCACAGACTATAAATTATTTTTATATATATTTTATATATATTTATATTATAATTATTATAGTGATAGGGAGCAACAAGAACAGTGAGTAAACTGTGCACTCGCCAACCTGCTCAGAGTCGAGAGTAGGGGGAAAGGGTCCATCCATCACAGCCTATAATAGTCCACTACTGAACATAGGCTTTTCCCATAGTTTGCCACTAAAGGGGGTATTTTGACATAGTTGCCACGCTTGGCAGGGAAGGGTGTTCAGAACAAACATGACGTGACGCAATGTTTGAAATATACATTGATTTCATTTTTACTCTTTTTACATAAAACAAATATACAATATTAATTTTATAGAGAAAAGTTTATTATTAAGTAGATAGTTGTTTGTGAATGCAATATTTTGTCAAAATTTCAATGGAATCATTGATAAACTAGTGTGTTGGCAACGGCAAAGATACATCTGCCCATCTCCTCTTTCAGTTTCCCTCTGTCGCCTCTTACGACACCCACGGCTCGATATGGGGTAAGGGTTATACATCACCACCATATGGTTTATTTACATTGTATTATATACAATATAGATTACATATAAACTTTTCATAATTTTAGATTTTAAATGATGAATCTTATTTCAATTTCACAGTAATAAATCAGAACTCACATTCCACTGGATTGATGTCACTCTCTAAGCAACCTCGAACAACCCTATTAAGACGGTTTCCCATCTCAGCATCTCCTGTCGAAAATACATTTAATTGATAAGTAGTTTTTAAGTTACCTTGTGTAATGCAACACATAAATATGGCAAGGTAGAAATAAATATTAATAGCGAATTCAAGCAGAAAAGAGTGACAGACATTAGAATCTTATGTCTGTGAAAGCTCAAATGCAAAGCACAAGTCTTAAACAACTTGAGGTTGAGAGTCAGTGGTGGCCTAAATGGAATTGTTAAGCAATATTTACCATCTAGGTACTTGGTGGTTAAGGTTTTTCTTCAACATAAGTAAATATACTTGCTCTGGAGTAGGACAAGTTTTAAACAACTTGAGTTTGAGCGTCAGTAGTGGCCTAAATGGAATTGTTAAGCAATATTTTACCATCTAGGTACTTGGTGGTTAAGATTTTTCTTCAACATAAGTAAATTTACTTGCTCTGGAGTAGGAAGCAGACTTCCTTCTGTACTAATATACTGATATAAATGTAATGAAATTTGAACCCTGCAATCTCCACTTATCTTTACTTTTACTACTATTACAAAATTTTTACTTTTTTATGTACTATAGCTTTTTAACAGTACCCAAATGATAGGTAAAACAGGGCATTGTGAAAGATAAAAAAACCACTTCGTTTAATACATGAATTGCCTAAAAAATTCATAGCTCAATTTATTCATGGCTGGTGTGGCGTGAAGTTTATGAGGCACCTCGACAGATGATTATTATCTCAAAAAATCTGGACTAGCAGCAGAGCGTCCTATATAGGCGAGTATATTCTCTTGGTATACTGGCCATATACCTACCTAATTTTCAAATGAAAAGAAAAACTTTTTGTAGAATTAAAGCCACGACTGCAGAAGCTGTTATGTGGACATTATTTTATTAAAATCTGTCCACTATTGACGAAGATATTGTATAACTAACATGCACAAAAAAACATACAATCGAATTGAGAAGCTCCCCCTTTTTTGCAGCAATCTTGTTAAATGTTAGTATTGTTGTAGTTGTTAAAAAAATGTTAGTATTAATGTTATTAAATACAAACACGTTATTAGTAATGTTACATAATATATTATTCAGAATTGAAAATTGTTTTTGCATCATGCTTGTTTATTCAAGTAAGGTACTTGAAGTAGTGTTAGATAGACATTATTTTGCCCAGTAGTCATGCATTATTAAATTGGACTGAAAATATTTTTAATTTAATATCAATAAAAACCGGTTTTTTCAACCGCCTATCACTTTTTTACTAATGTATCAATACCTTTAAACTAGCAATTCTTGTATATATATAATCGGAATCTCGGAAACGGCTTCAACGATTTTCATGACATTTAGTATGCAAGGGGTTTTGGGGACAATAAATCGATCTAGCTAGGATTCATTTTTAGAAAATGTCGTTTTATCCATGTTTTTTGCCGGTGCCTAAAAGGTAATAGCTCAATAGCTCAAATGGAATATCGGGCGATGCTGAAATCATAGAACGCCGGTTCGTGTCCAAATGTCTGCGGTCGGACTCTTTTTTCCTTTTTTTCCTTCTTTTGTGAGAAAATATATTATTTGGTGCACTTTTTTTAGTATCTTCTTTTTTTAACACGAAAAATAATGATCGAGAAGATTGAAAATTTTTATTCATATTTCATCAATTTGTAATTTGTATCTAAATATAATTTACAAAAAACACGATTTCACAAAAACAAACGAGCAAAGCTCGGTCATCCAGGTATTAAAAACCGCTTGCTTTTTTAAAAACTAACATTTTATCCCTCTGCAATTGTCAAGATTTAATTTTCTATTATTTAATTGTAAGTTACTCTTGTATATTTATTATTAGTATAGAAAATTAGGTAGGAATTAATAGTTCATTTCTCGATGGCAGCAGTATCAATTGTGATTAAATTTGCTGCGGGTTTTTCGTATATTATTTCTTATTACATGTTTACTTATATATTATGTTGAATACACTCTTTATTCAACATACGTAAACACGTAAAGCCATTTAACGCAAAACCACCAACATACCAGGTTAGTTTACCGGCAATGTTTACATGCTAAATATCTTAACATAGCTTCCTTATCCTGGTTAATGACTCATAGAAAATAATATTACGTATAAACACAAATACAAACAAATATTATGCATGCATACCCAAAGTTATCAAACCGCGGTAGTAGTCGCGTAAACGAATTAACCTCTTTGCACGGCCCCAAAATCGAGTGCATGGTCTCTGGAGTCTCCTCCTTGAACCGCCACAGAGGAAGCAGCACCTCCACCAACACCGATGCGGTATACAGGACCTCCCACTTTTACCAGCAACATGCCTATAAAAATCATTCGAAATTACTCAGTTTCTTCATTATGTTCATCATTTTTGATGCTTGCCTGGTAATATTGCCGTGTAGACATAGGATAATTGATCACTCCTTCCCATGCCAAGTGCCAAAGTCGAGCTTCAAGATATGCGTCTTAGAAAACCTATACCACAGGAGGATACCAGTATCAAGAATGTAACATCTAGAAAGGAAATTACCAATCTTTACAATTACAAAAATTCTACTTGGTGGACGATTATGTACACATACATACACATAGTAAACATTACTGAGTGATACTTCATCACCAAGTTTGACCTTGACTATAGTGAGGTTTACAAAAGTTATCAACTGCTTAGAAATATTAATGTACTCCAAGCCAAATAGCACAAGCACAATAAACAAGAAACAATTACATTTTTAATAATAAATTTAAAATAGAATAAGGGTGACAAACCAGAATACAGTCCACCTGATAGTAAGTGGATGCTGTGACCCACAGTACATTTGTCTCCAATTAAGAATCAAAATGCAGATCTCAAAAGAGTAACAATTCTTACAGATACAAAACTATTGATTATACAACGTGCCGCTACAATGGTGACTTTATTTTGACACACATACGTTTTCACATTTTCATTTCATGAAGATATTATATTTCCATTAAACATTATTATTTACGGATTTATTTGAAATTTTAGAAAATAGCATCTTAGAGCAACCTGTACTTAGAGAACTGTCGCGCAGCGGTTATTTGGCCGGGTCACGGATCATAAAATCGCATCATTGAAATTAAAACGAATAAGCAATACTATTGTAGGAAAGAAACTTTGTCAGCAAGCGGGCGGCGCAGGCGACGTGTGCCCCTCACCCCGCCGCACCGAAATTGAATTATTTTTTTTGCATTTCTAGTGGTCTCAGAACCCGTGTCCTTGACACACATCTTCACAGTAGTCCCATAATTACGTCGACTAATATTTTTGTAAATGTTTCGCGAAAAAGACGCTTTACCTCACACTTCATCTTTATCTATTGTTTTATTTATTAATTTTTGTGTAATTAGGTTATGGTACTGCGATAAAGACGCTTTGTTTTGTTTTCATTTTGTAATCTAGTAGGTACGTTTACATCTCTTTTGATACGGACGTTTTTATTTATGTTATTAGTGCTTGTGTAAACTTGTGATCGTAATGGCAAATACACATCAAAACTACACAGCAGCTGAATATGCGGACATTTAAATCGCAAAAAGTGGTACCCATTCAGGGTTAGAAAAGTACTTACGCGTGATAAATTAATAAGAGTGAATTATTGTCAGTGGTTAATGAGTAAAATTGAAGAGGACTGTGACTTTCTTTCCCAAATTTGTTGGACTGACGAACGCGCGCCACTATTTTTTTTGCTCGATCTTACCCGTTTTGACAGTTTCTGTGCCGGCGTCGAACTAAACTATTTATTATAAATCGCGTGTGGTGTTTACCTGATTAATTAATGCTACCAGATATAGTGCAACTATTTACAAATGCATTAAACTTTATTTCGTATGATAATATTTATTACAATCGTTATTAAATCAAATGTAATGCATTACCTCGTGCTAAAGGCCGAAATCTAGACCCGGCCGGCTTACCGGCGCATCGACCCTATGTTATATGCATATAAATGTAATAAGTATTGGCATTAGCGAATAATAACCTCATGATAAATGGTATGGTATGCAATTAGTGAGCTACACAGTTGTACGCTTCTATTTTTCTAAACTTAATTAGAATGATAGAAAACAGAATTTTATTTCTATGTTGCCTCAAAACACATTTAGCATATTTATTTTATTATAAAAGAATACATCAACATGCAAGTTTAAAAAAGTGTTGATTCATACAATATTTATTTCTTACCTTTATCAGGTTTGTTCTTTTTAATCATACTATGAGGCATATATCCAATGCCACCGCTAAACATTATTGGCTTCACAAATTCCTCTCTAAGATTATCGCCATTTTTCAAACCGTACGACTGGACAAATCCTGTGTAAAACAAAATTAATATAAAAGTTATATTCGAAATAATAAAAATATTTTAAACTAATAAATAATAACATAAAAATATTTTATTACACACTTATGAAAAAATAATGATCACTCGCCTGATATGACTGGTTCACCAAATTTATTACCGTAGTCAGATGCGCCATTACTCGCATCGATGATAATTTGTAGTGGACTCGCAAAATTATTGGGATATTTCCAACTTTTTTCTTCCCATGGCAGATCATAACCTACATTTCAAATGAAGTTAGTAAAAACACAAATATAAATGGATTATAAAAATTAAAATAGTTGCAATAAATATTTCAACAATTCTATCTTAGATGTTAGCTTAGACCAACACCCACAGGTTTGAGAAGCCACGAGTAGACTTATTCGTTTCTCGTGGCTTTAGTGATAATGATGAACAAGAATAAAGTCTTTTACTGGATTAGATTAAGGGTTGGTAGAGCAAAGCAGCATCCATTAATGTTCTGTTGGTTAAAAGGTTAAAATTTTGTATAAATTTAGATCGAATAAATTAACATCTATAAAATATTAATAGAAATTGTTAATTGCAATTTTAAGTGCTGATATACCACGTGCTCGGCGGTGAAAGAAAACATCGTGAGGAAACCTGCTTGTCTGAGGAATAAGAAAAACAAAATATTTCGATGACATGTGAAGTTCGCCAACACGCATTGGAGCAGCGCGGCGGACACTTCCTTGCACTAAAACCCTCTAAGAAATGAGGGGAGGCCTGTGCCCAGCAGTGGGACGTATATAGGCTGTAACTTTACCTTTACTATAAAATATTCTTTGGTAGGCATATTTGGCTGATTCACATCCCCAACAAAACTTATAGACAAAAATCTACAAATAAATTTAAATTCACTGTAGAGCATAAATCCTACCTGTATTACTTTCAATGAGAGAATGCACATTTCTATTACTACTACAGCCTATAAAAGTCCAATGCTGAACACAGACCATAAACAGAATGTCAGGCAGTTTGGTGAGCACAGATTTGTCATTATGAGTTATTATCAGGAAGATGGTGCAGACCATTACACAGTTTTGAGTTGCCTTCATCGCCTCATACTACACCCAAAGGACGATATGGGATAGTGGATATTCTTACACTGCCAACACTCAGTTAATATTTTGAAATATAAGCTAAAGGACAAAAATAATTTTACCTGATATCAGAAGATTGCCAACACTATATCCAGCTGTTCCAGCAATGGTATGTCCACCTCTTCCTACGCCCTGTACATCTCTTATACGACCACCAGTACCAGTGGTAGCACCACTAAATGGAGCTACTGCTGTTGGCATATTATGAGTTTCAGCTGTGAAGATTATATCAGATTCTATTGTCTCTTGAACAATCTTAGATGGTCCTCTGACATTACTTGGTCTGAGTTTCTTATGTGTAAAACCTTTTATAGCACTAAAATGTAATAATGAATGGAATTTTAAATGAAAGAATAATATACAGCATTTTCATAAAATAATATTTCGTAAAATGCTACAGAGTCATAAACTTATCTTAATGTGGTATATAGTTTTTTTTAATGCCCAGAAAAATTCAATATATTTAATTATATTATAAAACCTAGTAGTTACAATATTGTGTTTCCTGTCATAATTTATGCAAAAACACAAATTAAAACAAAATAAAAAGTACTTATTTGCTACAAAAATAGAAGGTTACAAAATAACAAAATGGTCTATGACTTAGTTGTAATGGGAGAATCATTGCTTCTGCTTTTTGGCCACAGCTTTTACACATTAAACATACAGGGTCTATGACAACTGATGAAACACACATTTAAGATAAATCTTGAAGGGGTTTAAGCCACCCAGAGCCAGGGTCTGCTTTTTAATTAGCCAGTTGCTGCATTTTCGCCGGTAGAAATAGTAGTACAGCAGATCAGACTAGTGGCAACAGATTACACCAGATTTTAGCAGTGGCAAATTAAAAACAACCCCTAGCCATGTGGCATCTATATTACTGGTATAGTTGTAACACGAATGGGTTGGCTCAACCAGCGAAGGACCACACTCTCATAGAATACCAGCGTTAAATAGCAGTTTAATGCTGCTATATGGTGAGTGTAGAGAACTGGAGACCCTTTTTACTGGAAACAAGGCAATCCATCTTAATCCTCACGGATGACAACGCATCTGCATTGTGATTCGTAATCGAGGATAGATGTAGATGTCTATGGGCCGTAGTAACCACTTACCATCAGGTGAACTGCGTGCTCGTTTGTCACCCTCATCCTATATAAAAAAAGTTTCAGCAATAATACTAGTTTTTACGGAATTTATCGCGTATATTTAACTTTTTAAATACCCGACGTTTCGAACGCTTTACAGCACTCATGGTCACGGGCGGGACTGAGATGTTCAACGTCCATATGTCATAGTTAACCGCGGTTACCATAGATTAAAATTTAACTTTAGCTCTATGGTAACCGCGGTTAACTATGACATATGGACGTTGAACATCTCAGTCCCGCCCGTGACCATGAGTGCTGTAAAGCGTTCGAAACGTCGGGTATTTAAAAAGTTAAATATACGCGATAAATTCCGTAAAAACTAGTATTATTTCAATGTGTAGTGTTCGCGTAAATATAAGAAATCATTAAGTTTCAGCAAATCGAATCCTGGTTATTTAAAGCCGATGAATTTTTTCTCTGATTGAGAACTTTTCTCCAACAGCTAACTCATCATACATATAGGCAACCAAGGAACCAGGTGTATTTTATAGTAATACTATTACACTATTAAGCATATTTAAAATGCCATTACATAGTGCAATCCTGTCCCCTTAGAGTATACCAAAAAAAATAAACATGAGTTTTAAGCTCTCTGCACGAGTTTTTTTAAATTGTTGTTTTATATCTAAATGTGTTTTGGATACACCCATATCTTGACAATTAATCTGAGTTTAATCTCTGTAAATTTGTTACAAAAGAGTTATGTTGAGAAGAGCTAAATTTGTTTGAGAGTATGGTTCTATATTTGCACATACATTTTTGACACTAGAATATGGTCTGCACAGTTGATAGTTTCTGATATTTAAAAGTTGTTCTAATAGCTGAAACAGATCAGGAAAGAAACATCATCTTTATCAAACAAATGGTTTACCACTTCAAGTTCTAAGTGGTTTCTATTGTAAATAATTTTTGTAATATTTTAAGTACAAATTATACTAACCTACTATTATCACCAAACTTTATAACATTATTGTTGTTTGATGACTCTTGAGTTGAAGCAACCATGTCTATAAGAGACTCATTTATCTCTTTACCATCCAATATTACCTTGCCCTAAAAAATCATAAAATGGAAATGATTAATGGATATACCAATAATATAAAAAACAATTTTCTCATCTTTCTATTTTTATTTCATTATTCAGCTATTACCACGCACATATTTTTAAATCTCCCATCTGAGGCAAATCTCAGGCATGGTTTGGCCACTCCTGTAAAATAGCATCATGCTATAAGCAGGAGTGCTACCAAGCCTGAGCTGATGCATCAACGTCCTGGCATATGAACACCAGAGCTCTTAAAAAGAAGTATAATTCCGCCTCCAGGTCCTTCAAAAGAGTTATTGCCAAGGCAAAGTCAGAGCACATAGGCAGAATTGACGAGAAACTAGTTCTCCTTCCTTCTGGAACCCGTGCATTCTGGTCTCGCGCCAAGGCAGTCCAGGGGAATTTCTGTCAATCATCTCTTCCATCTCTGCACAGGGAGGACTACTCACTGGCCCATACCGCAAAGGAGAAAGCCGATCAGTACGGAGTGGTCGTACGTGGAGTACGGGATGGTCGGCGGAGTACGAAGTACGCCGTCGACCACCCCGCGGTGTGAGTGCTCCATACCGGAAGTGCAGTTCACACAGCGCTCGGTTCGCAAAGCACTCCTCCTGGACAAGTCGAGTGGGCCTGACGTGTGCTCCAGAGTTGGCACCGGTTTCAACGCGTCTTTTCCGGTACTCCTACTCCCTAGCCGTAGTCCCAAAATCATGGAAGACAGCTTTCGTCCAACTGATCCCTAAAAAAGGTGACCGCTCAGACCCGTCCAACTACCGGCCTATCGCCATCCCCTACTTGCTCTCCAAAACAATGGAGTCCGTTGTCAACTGTCAGCTCATGAGGTACCTTGAGGATGACCAGCTGATTAGTGGTCGCCAATACGGTTTTCGACGTGGTCGATCAGCTGGTGATCTTCTGATCTACCTAACTGGCCGTTAGTTTGGACATTGCGAAGGCCTTCGATCGGGTTTCACACAAGGCGCATCTTTCGAAACTCCCTTCCTATGAGCTTCCCGAGAAATTGTGCAATTGGATATCAGCTTTCTTGCAGATCGGAGCATCAAGGTCGTTGTAGAGGGTGCAAGCTCCGATTACAAGCCTATCAATGGCTGGTGCTCCACAAGGCTGCGTGCTATCGCAAACGCTGTTTCTTCTGCATATAAAATATAAATGATATGTTGCGAACCCGTAACACTCATTGCTATGCAGATGACAGCACTCGTGATGCTCTGTACACCGGCCGTGCCAATATTTCTCGGGAAAACGTCTCCGATTACCGGAACAAACTTGTGTCTGAAGTCGAGTCTTTGCTGAACAGAATCTCGGATTGAGGGCGACTAAATCTAGTCCAGTTTAACGCTCAGAAGACAAAAGTTTGCGCGTTAACCGCTAAAAAGAACCCCTTTGTCGTATCTCCTCAGTTTCAAGGCACTCCCCTTGTTGCCTCAGCCAGTATCGGAATCCTCGGTGTCGACGTATCGAGTGACGTGCAGTTTCGTGGTCACTTGGAAGAGAAGGCCAAATTTGGCCTCTAAAAAGCTTGGCGTGCTCAGCTGAGCAGGACAGTATTTCATGCCGGCACACCGCCTGCAACTTTACAAGGCACAGATACAGCCGCACATGGAATACTGTTCCCATCTCTGGGCTGGAGCTCCCCAGTACTAGCTCCTTCCACTTGACCGCATCCAGCGCAAAGCGGCAGGAATCATCGACGACCGAGTGCTTTTCGATTCACTGTGCTGCGAAGATATGTTGTATCTCTTTGCATTTTCTTTCGCATATACCATGGGTACCAGTGCTTTGAGGAATTGTTCAGATTAATCCCAGCCGCCAAATTTCGTGAACGCACTATGCGGCAAACGTCCCGATACCATCCACACCATCTGGATGCTTGTTGGACCACTATTGTATGTTTCACAAGGAGTTTTCTTCCGCGTACAACCTCTCTGTTGAATAGTTTACCACCGGCGATTTTTCTGGACCGATATAACCTGGGGACCTTCAAGAAAAGAGCTTACTCCTTTCTAAAGGGCCGGCAACGCACCTGCAATTCCCCTGGCGTTGCAGTTGATCATGGGCAGCGATAGTCACTTAACATCAGGTGAGCCGCATGCTAGTTTGCCCCCTCTTCTATACAAAAAAAAATTCGGTACAATATTTGAGCCACCTGGTTTAAGATAATAATTGTACTATGCCTATAACCTTCATGCAAGTGTAACCAATATGTTGACAAAGCTTTACTAAAGAATGGTATGGCAGGCCATAAAATAGAAACATATAAACATTAATTTTTGTGTATAAGACAAAAGTAATGTTGAATTAACCACCTTGAAAAACCAATGCCGTGAATGTTCACTGTTACTCTGAGCAAGGTCAAATAACTCCACACTTGTTGGGTCTCTTTGTAACTTGTTTACAAATAGATCCATATAAAAGTCCATATCCCAGTCATCAAAAGCTAAACCTGTATAATACAATTAATAATATATTAAAGTTTAGTATATATTATGGTTTATTAAGAATTTTGTATAGTTTATCAAAGATGGGATTTACTAAATTCATGTTGGTATATTGTATAGAAAGAAAAAGAAATTTACAAGAAAATAAAAAAATATGAACTATTGTTATTTTTACTCTAATGTTAAATCTTGGTAATTATTAACTTTGATATAACTTGTAATATTACCTAGTTTTTGATTTACAGCCTTCATTGCCACTATTCCTTCTTTCATCAATGGCACCACATACCATGGTTCTAAATCTTTTGGCAAAGCTTCATTAAAGCTGTTCCTCGGAAGATTTTCCTTAGTATAGATACATTGAGTCATCCTGTCATGTAAAGGAGCAGCCAATTCTTCAAATAATTTCTTAGATACATTCTTCTTCTTTGCAAAAGTAATAAGATATCTTGTTGAATATTCAAGACGGACCACATCATGCAAGCCTACACTTTCACAAATTTGGACAGAGTTACTTGAATCAGCTGTAGAAAAATTAAACCTGTAATGTGGAAAGGTAGAATTTATTGCTCTTTTGATATTTTATTATTTTAATTCTTATTAATGCTTTTTTTTATAGTATAAGGGTGACAAAAGAGCACACAGTCCACCTGATATTAAGTGGATGCTGTGGCCCATAGACATCTACATTTATCTTCAACTAAAAAACATAATGCAGATGTGTTGCCAGGGTACGACTTTCCATTGAAGTCCGTCGAATTGAAGGTGGGAGGGGGGTGGAAGGAAGTGTACTACTCCCCCTTAAAAGGAAAAGTTGCAGAGCCCCCCATTTTCGAGATTTTTCATTTTTAATTCTGAGGAAATTTTCCGCATTTTAAGGATAAATATTAAGTGTAAATAACCAGGGGGACCTATTGGGGGGTAGGGGGTACCCCCTAAGGAAGGGGGAACCCCCTTCACCAAACAAATAGAGGGACTCATTCAAACTAGACAGACGGAGGCAACAATGTCTCCGGCGCTGCGGAAAGAGCAGCCTCTAAGCCTTTGCATAACAAATTACAAGCATCCAGCCTTGCCTCCGCAGCTTTGGCTCTAATAAGTTATAATTATAAAATATAAGTTTAGCTTTATAAGATAACATAATTTGCTATAAACTTTAGCTAATATTCATACTACAAAAATATAACAAAACAGATTAATTTATTTTTAAGTTGAAATGATTTACCTTGGTCCAATTTCAATAATTAATTGATCATTTTGTAAGCATTTGTAAGCAGATTCATTTCTCAAAGTATTGGGCTGTAAAGGTGAACAGAGAAGCCATTGCAAAATCTTAATTTGACTAATATTTAAATTAGCTTCATCAATTTCCACATGGTAACATAACTCTGTCGATAACTCAGTTACGTCGGGGTCAATAAGTTTCAACTTTTGAAGTATTTCTTTAGTTTTATGTGCACTAAAGGCTTCACATAAGTAAAATCGTATTATACACATGGTTATTAAAATCCACTTCCAATAATGACTAAGTTACACCAATTGCTGAAGAGCAAATAATTTTAACTGGCGAATGTCACGAAGTATCTTGCATCAATGTCAAAGATCACCTTTTATCAATTTAATAATTACTCCATAGTAATATAAACAAAATAACAACATCAGCTTACGCAATAAACGTGTATTTTTAACTTATATTTCATAGGAGTTATTTGTTTTATACTGTAATAAGGCCGGGCTTTAACATAAGCGCGTTAACATGACTAATGCCTACTAACTTATACGGTATCTAGAAAAGATAAAATTTCGTCACACTAATATAATTTATAAATAAGGCAAATTTTAAAATCACTTTTCTTGATTCAGTGCACAAAACTAACTAGATATTCCCTGATTTCTACTTCTCTTGTTTATTTCCATACTAGGCATACCAAACACAGAACACTATTACTCCTATCGGAGAAGAACGACAACTTCATACAAAATTTAAGAAATGAGATATATAACCACTAGCGCCATCTATCGTCAGCCTCCTGCACTTCTTGTGTGGCGGGAAAATTTGAATGTGGTCTTTTTTGTTATTTTTTTATTTGAGGTATTTTTGGGTTTCCTATCCCAGCGCAAAATAAAGAACAAAAATTACAAAATTTCTATTTATTTATTCAAAATAAAAACACAAATTGAAATAAAAAACATACATAACTTAAGAAACAATTTCTCCAGCAGCTTAGTTCTTTCTATAAAGACATTTGATGGGTTCAAACATGAAAAGAAAATCAATAATGATTACAACATTTCAATTACTTAAGTAAACAATGATAAAGAATTGAAATAAGATTTACAATCATGGATGAATTGATAATATGCACAATGATTGTCTACAATAACCAAAATATCAATATTTTAATCTAAAACAAGTTAATTAATAAATAAGCTCCTACACACAAGTGCAAAGTGCAACATTCACAAATAATAATTGTGTTTTGATTCTATCTATTTCCCTGAATTGACACTAAAAATTTTGTCTCTATATTATATGCAATATATTAAGTATTGAATGCAGCTTATAAATAGAATAATTTTAATTCAAAATTATAAAACATATTAAATATTAGATTACAAAAATATTCCTTATTTCATTTTAAAAAATTTCATATAGAGATACATACTTTCTTTTTCAGGTTCTACATTATGTGTTATGCTTTGGTGTTTGTGGTTGTTCTTCAGTGGATATAATGTTGTCCTTTTTGAAGATCCTGCTTGTGGTTTTGCAGCAATAATTTGCGAGGGACCAGCTTGTGATTCCACAAAATAAAATGGGAATACACTTTGTTAGTCTGGAAATAAATAAAAACTGAAATAAATTATAGTATCATAAAATTATTATATACAATTAAATTAACATTATATTCATTGACATTACTTTCATAGTAAACCAGTCCCTACTCATGGCACTATATTACCCTTCTACCAATACAAAATAAATGAACGGATCTTGTTCATCCAACTTGCTCTATAATACACCCACTATTACAATTAATATAACAAAATAAGATAGTAAATACAATAACTATGTGAAAAGAAATCTTGTGTTTATCTATTGTTTGAGAACCATTTGATGCATGTATTTCTACTGCGTTGTACAAGTTGTGCCTTTAAATTTGATAGGTTTAGGACCAAATGTAATTATTCATATATTGTGATGCCGGAACTTTCTTAAGGTTTGTTGTAGTTTTAAAATAAAATTTGATTGTTAAAATAATATGCAGTGTGTTGCACTTTTAATAATGTAAGGAAAGGCTTGTGCTAACTTTATAGACTTCAATCCTTTGGATGCTTTGTCCGATCCAATTATTATAAATTAGGATTCAAACTAGTGTATGTGGTCTGTCTATCCATGTAAGATCCAGATGATGGTCATATGAATAATCATCATCTTCTTTACAGTCTATCAAAGTCTACTCCTGAATATAGTAATCCCCATATAAAATATCTGAGTAATCCTTAAAGAAAACTATATACATACCATATTACCATATACATTATACACTTTACTTACATCACATGGGACTGCAGTGCTTAAGAGCTTTTTCTTGGTTGCATCATTAAATTAACCATCATGAAAATGTTTTTCACACAGCATTCTGGGCTTATTATGTAGCTTTGGAAAGCTAAAGTAGTATACTGCTCTTGGGAAGGAATATAATATTTCTCCCATAATTTACAACTGAAAACAAAAGATATAATTATTAAATACAAATATTATCAAAGTAGGTTAAAAACAAATTAATGGTTTACAAACCAATAATTTGTTTTTAAATGGTAAAAAGAGAAACAATAAGTTGGACAAGAGATTTACTTTAAGGTTAGAACTTATTAAATAGTGTATATGTATATCGTATACGTACCGCAAAATATACTTTACTGCGAATTTCGGAAACCTAAATAATTTAACGTTGTCAATGGTTGGTATGCTGTTGCACTTAGAACACTTTTTCTATTTTCTTTATCCGCCATTGCAGCGTAGTTTTTAAGAGTCACTATTTCGTATTTCACTACGATTCATTGACTAACACATTGCACATCATATAAATGAAGGACATTAATCTCAACTCAACATCGTAAACTTGCAAAATCTTAGTAAAAGACAAAAGCAAAACAAACATAACAACCAATCATGAACAACAATAATTTATACGGCGACGCCATATTATGAGAAAAGAGAAATATATACTCATTTAGGTATTTGGTGTTACCAGTAAAAAATATAATTTTCTACTCATTGAAAATCAAAACAAAAAGAAAACATTTATTTTTCTTTTACTGTCAAGGATATGCTAATATAATAATGTAGAAAAATACGACAGGCATAGTTATCTTCCTATTGATTATTATTTCTGTATTCAAAATTTTTGAGTGTAATTTATCTTTAGCAAAATCTTACTAATTATGAAACAAGACATTTATCTGACAAATGGCAATAATAAAATTCAGCCCCCGTAGGTATTTCATTCTGTCCATACAGAGTTGACCGGGCCTGATACCAAATGCCGATATGAGATCGATTAATCGAAGAATCGATTTTATTAGTGCCAAAAAGATCAATTTTTAATCGATATATAGTATTGAATCGATTCAGTGAATCGATATTTCACCCCAGGAAATCGAGATCGAATCTTTTTCAGTTTTCAAAAGAATTATATAGTTATTTGCATTTAATTGATTGTACCCAAACTCGTAAAGAAAGACAGTTTTTACATACATAAACATAAACATAAACACTCACGCTTGTCACCCAGAGGGGTAGGCAGAGACTACAGACTTCCATTTGACACGATCCTGACACACCTCTCTCGCCTCCTTCACGCCACATCCATATTACAAATTATAAAGTTGTATGTACAAGAATCCATATATCTACGCATACATGCTCGTCGGTTAAGGGTACTCCCAATTTGGCCTGTTTTCAATAAATCGCTAATTTGGTCAATAAATTTTCGCCAAGGACGTCCCTTTCCGATTTTGCCGTTTACTTCTGCAACATAAATTTTCTTTGTCTCCCTTTTTTATTATTATATACGTTATATATTTATTACTCTTAACTTAACTCTTACTTAAGTATTTAAGTATTAAATCTAATAATGCTTGCATGCTCTTAAATATAATATATCTTAATGCGTCTGTTGCGGCGCTATCGTCGCGTCACAAGCTAAACGCATCGAAACCGTTCACTGTCCCAAAATAAACAGAAACAGAAACTTTTTTATTCAATGTAGATTGTAAACAATACTTATTTAAAGTCACTTTTTTCATTTACCACTGGTTCGCAAAAAAGACCTCTGTCCTAGGAAGAACCAGTAAGAAACCCAGCGAGACAATTTTTTTTTTCAAATAATAGCTTACAACTCTAAAACACTTCTAGCAGACATAGAAGCTTCAAATTTAGAACACAATTAGTGTTTAGCACAAACTAATAAGAGTACTAAGTGTTTAGTATAAATCAAGGAAAAATTAAAATATTTTTCAATTTCGGTTAGTTTTCTAGATACACTAACTGCATAAATAACTTTGTAACCCTATATAAATATATAGGATTACAAAGTTACATTTGCAGTGAATGAGTCAGTGTACCTGTATAGTATATATGTATAATATAATGGAATAATAGGTGTAGATAGGTACGTTGTTGGTATTCAAAAAGTAGAAGGTATCGAAAAGGAAAAAAAGTGAGACTATCTACAAAAAGAAATGAGATGCCATCAAAAACATAACTTGTAAAAAGAACCGCTCTCGCAACTCAGTTTTTCTACCGTAAAAAGTTGTGAAATCCATTTAATACCAAGTTGGTTAATTAATTCAGTCCCTACTTAATGGTCCTTCCATTTTAAGTTATTACGTAATTAGCTAACCTAACAGCATCTTATAGTGACCATACCAATGTTAACCCTTAAAGTGACTTTGTATAGCAGGGTATACGTCTGACTTTAAAAAAATATTACTAAGTTTCTACACGTTTTATTTGCATTATTTCATTACAATACATATTTCTGATCGTTTCTTTTTACGTCAACATTACGCTAAATACCTAATCTGTGGTAAATTTGAATCAGTTGTCAAAAATAACGAACAAACCGCGGCCAGAAATTATTGTCAAGGTGAGTTTTACTTATTTTCGTGATTTTAGTTCTTATTACAGGTTTGTAATGCAGAAATCGAAAAGGTGAAGAGTTATTCCAACCATTGTGTAACTTAAATGGCCTAGAAGTTTTCATATTTGGATTATTTTAACTTGTTTACATTTGTGTATGGTATACTATACAGTACTACAATCGCTACTATTTGCCATTATATTTATTTGTATAGAATACTATACATTGCTGCTAACATGGTACTAACAAATTTTAATTGATTTGGTATAATAAGAGTTCCGCATAGTGCATAAATAACTTTTTGGCTTTTATTTGGGTGATGGTTGAGCTGCGTGTTGGTTTCGTTTTATT